CTGCCAGAGAGAGAGCACCACACACTCTGTAGGGCCTGGACTCACAGTGAGAACCCGACTGCAGTGCCACAGATTGTGGGGGAACAGTCTTGAGAAAGAAGAATCTGTGTCACTGGGGGGTGGGGAAATTAGTTAATCTGGCAAGACTGTCTTAAATATCCATGGCTTCAGTCCCAGTGTCCTGGGCCCTCTCAAAGAGGCAGAATAGAGCCATGGGGGCTGTCTTTTGACCACTTTCACTGTGGCATTTTAACACCTAACCTAAAACCCAAGTTTGTAATGCTATCAGATAGGGATTTGAGGGTCAAAGGACCATTCAAAGCCAGGCATGAGTTTTGATATCCAGGGAGGCCTACCTGTGTGTGTAAGCCTGGGTTATGGTTGGAGAACATGGTGGTTACCCACTGAGTCAACCTGGGTAATGAACCCCAGACCAATCTTTGTTAATGCAAGAAATGGTTTCCAATTGCTTTTTCATTTGGTCCCAGATGGTGAGTGGAGGAAGGGAAAATATTAAGGCTGCCCAGTCCATTATTCATACTAAAAGAGGGAGGCATTGTTTTGTTAACTCCAGCACAGCATGCGTTAAAAAGGTATCCCCCACCCAAGAAAAAGGAAGAGAAAAGAACTTGGATCAGTACTTTCTACCATGTAATAAGATTTCCTAAAAATAGATTATAGACCTAAATGTAAAACCTAAAACTATAAAACTTCTAAAAGAAAACAGAAGAAAATGCTTGAGACCTTGAGTTAGGCAAAGATGCTTAGATATGACACCAAAATCAAAAGTCATAAAAGAATAACTTAATAAAGTGGACTTAATCAAAATTTAAACCTTCTACTTTCAAAAGACACTATTATAGAAATATACTTAGTAGGGAAAAAAGACACAATTATGGGAATGCAAACACAATCTACTGAGAGGAAAACTTTGCAAAACATTTATCTGATAAATGACTTGTAATGAAGAATATATAAAGAACTCTCAAAGGACTGGCCACATGGCTCAAGTGGTTAGAGCTCCTGCCTAGCAAGTGTGAGGCCCTGAGTTCAAACCCCAGTATCTCTACAACAAAAAACAAAATCCAAAACCCTCAAAACTTAAAAAAAAAAACCCAAACTACCCAATAAAAAAAAAAATGGGCAAAAGATTTAAATAGCTATTTCACCAAAGAAGATATATGAGTAACAAATAAGCACAAAGATGCTCAACTTATCAGGAAAATGTAAATTAAAATCACAGTGAGACTACTCTGTGCCTGTTAGAATGGCTGAAGTTAAAAAGATTGAACATACTTCACAGGATGTAAAAGGACTAGAACTCTTATATACTGTTGATGGGAATATAAAATGATACAAGCACCCTTATTCATAGCAACTTTATTTGTACTAGCTCAAACTGTAAACAACTCAAACATCTATCAACAGGTGAACGGACAAATCATGGATAAGCAAATTCCATACAATGGAATACTACAAAGAAATTAAAAAAAAAAATAAGGAGGGGGTTAAGAGTGCTGGATGAGCTGGGTACTGGTGGCTCACACCTGTAAACCTAGCAACTCAGGAGGCAGAGATCAGGAGGATCATGGCTTGAAGTCAGCCCAGGCAAATAGTTTGAAAGGGACCCTATCTCAAAAATACCGAACACAAAAATAGGGCTGGTGGAGTGGCTCAAGGTGCAGGCCCTGAGTTCAAGCCCCAGTACTGCAAAAAAACAAAAACAAAAACAAAAAAGAATGCTGGATGAAAGTCAAATAAAAAATATATATGGCATGATTCCATTTATTTACAGCTGTAGTAGATGCAAACTAATTTACAGTGACAGAAAGCAGATAGTGACTACTGGGGGGGTGGTGAGGCTAGAGAACAGGGTTATAACGGCATGAGAAAACACGGCTAGTCACTATCCAATCAGACAAGTTTCATGGTGTTTGTGTTAATTTACCATATTGTGCGGCTTACTTTACATCAATTGTATATAGTTTTACATCCACACGCAGTATACCTTTTGAAGGCATACTTATATAATTGCAGCTATAGTACAGTAGTTGGAAAGACAGTAATCAGCTGCCTCAGCTGGTTCTTCCACCACAGGCATCCAAGAGACCCTTACCAAGTTACTTCAACCACTTGATGTCTGTTACTCCCTGTGTGTAAGGGGCTAACAGTAAACCCTGCTTTGATGCAAGTTCGCTATTATCTGGGATCCTATCCAGGATGAAATGGCAACACGTGCAGTGTTGGGAACAGGATCTGGAAGCTAGAGAGCTCTCCACAAATGGGAAGCAGTCTCCTTCTCACTGCAGCTGAGCTGAGGCTTGGAGGGGTGGGATACCACAGGCAACTGCTGTTTTTGGTCTGCATCTTTTACAGTGGGAATTGTTCTTTCCTCATCACCCCATACAGGTCATTCTGGTGCAACTGAAATTCACAGTGTCCAATACCCTTGAGGAGTGTGGCCTGTAGTAGCACTGTGTACTCTTGGATATAGTGGTCAGTGCAAAACATGCAATCAGTAATCTAGGCTGGGCCAATCAGATACTTTTCCTGGGATTTCTATATTGAACAAACATATATTAAATATACTGAAGTAGGGATGGAGCTGCCTTATCCCCACTTGTGGGTATACTAAACTGGATAACATAAGCCTAGAGTGAACTGTACCATGCCTTCCCTGCCTCCCTCATAGGGAAGAAAACAGGGAAAGAATGAGGCCAGAGACCCAAAGCAGAGTCAGTTAGAGTTTGAGCCCCTGGACCCAGCCAGATCTGAATTAAAACCAATATTATCCTTGATGACTTACCAAATCATTCCATCTGGGACTTAAGCCAGTTTAACCTACATTTCTTTTTTTTTTTTTTTCTTTCTTTTTGGTGCTGGGATTGAACCTAGGGCCTCATGCAGGTAAACATGTGCTCTACCAGAGCTACCTTTGACCTACAGAAATGTAGGACTCTCTGCTTCAACTGAGAGTCCTACATGATAGACAGTGAAGTGAGTTGGCAGTAAAGATTTGAATCTGGGGTCTCAGTACTAACAAAGCCCATTTTTCCTGTGTCAGTGGCAAATGCATGTAATTTGGTACAGAGGGCTGAGCATCTGGGAGAGCCTGTGGATTGGCAGGAGGCAGGGAACAGCAGTGGCCTGAATCCCAGAAAACCTGACAGGAGCCAGAGCTTGGAGAGCAACCACTCGACTCAACCCATTTGTGGAAGCTGTAGTACCTCAGATCCTACCCACCCCCTACCCCTCAGCACATGATTTGAGACACAATAACAGGACAATGGTACATTTATTTACAATTAGACCAAAAAAAGGCATACAGGCATTTTTTTAATTAAAAATAATGATGATGATTTAAAAAGTCAGAAAAATCGACACTGTTTGAACCTGTTGAGTTCATTCCCCACACTCCCCCCACCCAAAAGAGAATCTCTTAGGGGGGAAAAAAATCCAAAATTTGAATGAACAAAAAGACTCCTTCTCTACTACTTGGGTTCCCTATTCTCCAGTCTGATTCTTGGTGGATGTCACTTGGTGTTGTGGAGTCACTGAGGCAAGATTGACAAGTTCACTGGTTTGATTGATGGAGCTGGCAGGGCCAGGGAGACTCTGGGGCAGTGAGGGACAGGGTGTATTCCTAGAGTAACCAGCATCCTGAGTTTTGTCTCATGGTGGGGTCACCAAGGACTAGAGCAAGGGTGAGTGGCTGTTACTTGAACCCTAATCCCAGGATGGATTGGTCTCTTGCAACTTAAGAGTAAATGCCTGTGATTTACACAGGTAGGCAAGGGTGGGAAGAGGGGGTGATGGTGGAGGAGCTGGGTCAGTCACAACTTGGAAAGACTGGGTTTCTTGCCTATTCCTGGGAACTGGGGAAGGAACAACCAAATTTACCTTTCTCTTCCTTTTACAGTAGTTTTCTGGATGTCTGAAAAAGAATTCAGGTGTTGAGGGTCTGGCTAAAAGAACTGAGTACAAACTCTGAGGCCAGGGGACATCAGGGAGAAAATGTGTCTGTCCAGCCACCTCAAGGAGGGATCTTGAGGACTCCAGGCTTCCTTGTTCTGCCCTGCAAGTGAGGCAGGAGAAAATCTGCCACCAGCACACATTGGAAAGAGTGGCAACCCCAAGAAAAGGACTGGGGAGCAATCCTGAGGGGCGAGTACCCCAATGGTCTCAGCTACCCCCTTCTAGACAGACATGTAGATGCTTGGCTCTGGAAATACTTGGCCCCAGGTCCAGGGTTTCTTGGCACAAGAACAGTTTGCTGTGCATCTCTTCTCTTTCTCCTTGCTGATCAGCAAATTCCAGCTGCTCTGTTCAAGGGGATTCCTGCTGTCTAGGGAACTGACCCCAGCACTTCCAGGTCTTCCTTGTAGCAAAAAGGCCTAGGTTTGTTCCTGGTGAAAAGACGACCAGAGGCTTGGCTGGAAGTCCTGCCTGGAGGTTCTGCCTTGGGCAGCCCAGGGAGACAGGTGGGGAATAAAAGAGGGAGGGAATGGGACTGGCAGAGGCTGGTTGGCACTGAGGGTGCTGTCTGGGCTAGACCCATGTGTGTCATGGCATTGGTGGTGTGGATCGACAGTGAAAGGCTCAGAACTCTCACTATAGCCCCAGCAGCTCCTCTTCCAGTTAGTGGTGGGGTGGCCAACAGCCCTGAGGAACTGGGGTGGAAATAGTGACCAGAATCCAGTATCAAGGTGGATTTATCCATCCTGGATCCATTTGTTAAAAAACAAAAAACAAAAAACAAAAAAAACAAACCTACAGAAATAAAACCCCAAACCAAAAACAAACCTGAATTAACAGGTCAGAGAGCTCCTGCTGGAGGGAACTTTTTTAGCACTGAAAAAAAAAAAAAAAAAAAAAAAAAAAAAACTGACAAAAACTCATCCCCCACAGAACTGGAATAAGATGAAGAAAAATGCAAGATTTATCTACAGGCCCTCCCGCCCCCTACACAGCCCCAGGATCCAGGAACACTGTGTCAGGAGTTACATTCCAAATGAGCAGGAGTTATTTTATTTTGTGTGCCTGCAGTTCCCCACGCAGAGTGGCTTCCTGTCCGAGGACGCAGCGGGCCTGGCCAAAGTCCACCCAGGTCAGTCTATCTTCACAGCAGCATAGATCTTGCGGACAAACATGTAGGCAGCATAGAAGCCGATGGTGCCCGTGAGCAGCCAGAAAGACAGGACCATGAGGGCCGTGTAGCCAAAGTAGAGGAGAGAGGGGATGAACTCGACAATGTCCAGCTGGAACAACGGGCAGGGAGAGAAGAAGGATGATGTTTAGTGCCAGGAGGCCATGGAAAACTGGGGGCTCCCATTTCTCACTCATTTTGTAGCAAAACCAACACCTGGACCATGGCTAACCTTCATCTGCACCCAGTCTTGTGTGCTGCCTTGGATGCTGTGACCACAGACAGGAATGGTTATAGCTGTGTTACTTCCTGGTCCTTCACAGTTCCCAGAATAGCACAGCAACACTCCTGGATGGCTGGAGCAGCAGCCGGCAAGCACTGGTGGGGAGAAGTGCCCACTGCTCCCAACTTAAGGACAGAGAGCCTACATTCCCCTCCCAGGAATGCTGGTCACTTCTGTCAGCATTTCACAATGACTTATCTTAGAGCATTTCAGCCTCCTTTGTGACTAGGGTAGAGTTAGAAGGCTTAGACAGAGATGCTAGGGATCTGTGTTGTGTTTGCTGGTGGCAGAGAATGAGGTTAATCTGGAACTTTGGTATTAATATATGCCCAGGTGCACAAGGCTCTGAGTGGGGAGCCCTTTATCTAGGGCTCATGGGCAGATACATAGTTACAAAATACCAGGAGCCTAAAAAACAATAAAGAAAATAAATATATAGATATCTGTTTGAGACCCTCTTCTAAGCCTATGGGGTGAAGGACATGTTTTCAGACTCAATTCTTATCTTGCTCCCATAAACATTCTTGTGGTTACAGATGGAGTAAAGGTGATGGGGGCTTGGGAGAGGGGGAAGGGGCAGGGCAGGTCAAACCAGGAAAGGGATGAGCAAAAAAGAAGGGCTGGAAGGACCCTTAGAGCTCAGGCAGGCAAAGGCCCTCATTTTATATATGACACTGGGACTGTAGTTGATTTCAGATAGAGAAGGTAGATCAAGAGGAGGAAGGACAGGAGACTGTGATGAGATCTCTAGCTTTATTTTGCCTAACACTGTTTCTGTCTTCCCTCTCAAGGTGTTCTGAGAAACAGTCTTGCTACCTTGTAGTCCTACTAGAACCTAGTCAATCAGAACACACCATCCTGTCGGGCCTGGGTAAACAATGAGCCCTGGCCATGTAACCCTGGCAGAGGAGCCAATGAAGTCTTCCCTGGGATTAATATGCAATGGCAGATCAAAAGATGTTCTTTTAGTTCTAGGGCTGTTACTGGCCATCTTTCCTGTGGAAAGATACCACCTGCAGATTGAAGCCAAAAAAAAAAATATATATATATGAAGTTAAGGGTAGACACAGAGCCCTGGCTATAACCATGTGTAAGGCTAGAACTCCAATGTCTTAAACTGTTCAGTTATGTCAGCCAATAGATTCTCTTTTGCTTAAACCAGTCTGAATTGGGTTCTGGTCACTTGCCACTCATAAGCTTTCTGATTCACACGGGCTGTAGAGGATGAAGATTAGATTTGTCTTGGAAAATCCTAGGAATAATACTAATGACTGAAGATAGAAGTTACAGGGGCACAGATCACAGTGTCAATTAAGGAGACCTTTGCAGTGACAGCAACTGTCCAGAAAGTGAATGGGAGTGTTAGGAAGATGTGTCTTTTCTGTCACTGGATAGGTTGCACAGGAGTCAGCAAACTTTTTCTTAAAGGGCCAGATTATATAAATTTTTGTGTTTTATAGGCTATATGGTCCCTGCTGCAATTCCTCAACTGTCATTACATTGTGAAAAAGCCACAGATGATATGTAAATGAATGAGCATGTCTATGTTCCAATTTTATTTCAGAGACATCTGAGGCAGATGACCATCTGTTGGGATTGCTGAAGAAGGGCACCATCGTCAGACTGAAAGCAGAGGTGGAACACTGCACTAAATGATCCTTAAAGTCCTTTCCAACCTTGTAGTTTTGAGAAAAGGGTATTCCAACTTTCAACCAATGGACTTAAACTCTATTTCACAAATCTACCCTGGCTGTAAGTAGAGGGCTGCTTTGAAAGACTTTGGAGATCCAAAGTACAGCAGGAGATCCAAAGCCTTCAGTACTAGCCTGGGAGGTGAGGGGACCACTACAGTTCCTCAAACTCCTCGGACTGGCGCATCTGGCTTATGTGTCATTGTTGTGTCATGAATGAATCTTATCAAAACTTCTGGGGGGGATTATCTATCTATCTATCTATCTATCCATCCATCCATCCATTTCCTTGGGGACAATGAGCTCCTTGAGCTTGCACTAGGTGGGTAAGCCAGACTCCTATTTATTTGTCAGCCCTCTGAGATGCAAGCAAGGCCCTTGCCTATATTCTCTTTACTTTGTAGGACTAAACAATACTTGACTGAAGAAAAGGAAGCCCCCACAGACAGGATGCCAGGGTCCTAAATATAGGCGTCCATCTTTGTCTTTTTACCTGCTTTTATTCTTTTGTGTTACTCTTTGCTTCTAGTTTCTTGAGGTGAATACTGTATTATCAGTCTCTCTTACTTTCTATTAGAAGTACTAACAGGGGTATCTCACTGTTATTTAGCCAGCCTGAAGGCTTATCTCCTGTACACACAAAACCCAAATTCTTTCTTAAAAAGATGCATATTCTAGAGTGGAATACAGTTCTAGATGACTTTGGTCCTTTCCTCTTTGGTGGGAAAGGACTCCTCACCATGCCTAAAGAAGACTAAGGGGATCCCCGGAGGGTGGTACCTTGTTGACAAAGTAAAAGATGGCATAGACCAGGACATAGAATGCAGATCCCCCGGAGACAAGGAAAGTCCTCCACCACCAGCGGTAATCCTGAGAAGGAAGCAGAGGAAGGGTTACCATAGTTTCTAGGCCTTTTCCCACGAGATCTCCCAGTTGCTTGAGGGGCTTAAAACTCTGAGTGAGAAGAGTACCATATGGGTGCCAGAAATGTTTTATAGTTTGACTGTGATGGTAGTCACACAACTGGAGGCATTTTTTTTTTTGGCAGTACTGGGACTTGAGCTTAGGGCCTTGCACTTGCTGAGCAGGTACTCATCCACATGAGTCACACCCTCAGCCCTTTTAGCTTTAATTATTTTTCAAATAGAGTCTTGCTTCTGTGCCCAGGCTATCCTGGACACAACCCTTCTATTTACACTTCCCATGTAGCTGGAATGAGAGATGTGCACCACCACACCTGGTTTATGGTTGAGATGGCGGTCTCACTAACTTTTGTCCAGGCTGGACTTGAACTGAGAACTTTCTTACCTCTACCTCCCAAGTAGCTAGGATTACAGGCATGAATCACCACATCTAGCTAACTGGAAGCATTTCTAAAACTACAGAATTGTACACTAAGAAGGGCAACTTTTACTGTTTATAAGTTGTACCTCAATTTAAAAAAAAAAACACCTCAACAATGAACGTTCTTGAGCAAATGCTTCCCATATGCCAGGCACCATTCTAAATGATACATACAAATCAGCTCATTTTAGTACTTGTAGCAGCTTTCACATTAAGTCTTTAATACCCATGCATGCTAAGGAGTAGTGGCAGAAATAGAGGCTGATCAAGCTTCAGAACTGCTAATGGAGGGGCAGGTTCCAGCCCAGGCTGGTAGTCTCTTGGTCTTTCCTTGCCCACAATTCAAGAACTAGTCCCTAGAGGAAAGGCAGGCCGCCAATCTGTACCTGCTAGTTGAAGAAAGTACTATCGGACTGGACTTGGTACTGACAAACCTACTGTCCTTCACCAAGCCATGGCAACTGCCCCACATAATGTGGTGGCAGGTGTCATGAACTCTAGTGCACAGCTGAGACATGGAAGCTTGGAGAAGGAAGCAGGACACTTATCCAAGGTTCAGCCTGAGGCAGGGACCACATGAAAAACCCAGACTCAGCCTCTCTGCAGGGCCTTTTCCCAGCTGCTCAATGCTGGATCCAGCCACCCTCTGCCCCACCTCATGGCCTTTTCTCCTCACCTCTGCACACAGCTGGAAGTACACCATGACGATGCTGATTTGTGAACAGGATACCACCAGGATGATGAAAACAAGAAACAGGAAGCCAAAGAGGTAATAGAACTGATTCTCCCATATTGCCTGTGGACATACCAGAGCAGGCCTTCAGATGGCTTGCCTTGGCTCAGCTGCCCTTTTCCCTGGCATACCACCTGTCAGCAGGGCAGGAATGGACACACTGTCATGACACCATCAGGGCCTGTGGGCCTGGCATGGGCTCTGAATGGACCCTCTTCTCTGGGGCAAGGGATGAGCGAGGCTATTCTTAGAGAAGGGTTCTGAGTGGGTCCCAGGCTGAACTTGCCAGCATGTAGGAAGTAATGACTCCCATCCCAACCAAAATTACATTAGCAGTCACTAGCACTTAGAGGGAGCTTACTCCATGCCAGGTGCTATACTACATCCTTCAAAGTCATCTTCACATGTGAGCTAAGCATGCTTTTAGTTTTGGCAGCATGAGGTTTGAACTCAGGGCCTAATGCCTGCTAGGCAGGTGGTCTCTACTTGAATCATACCACCAGCCTTTTATGTTTGTTTGTTTTAGTTATTTTTCAGAAAGGAGCTTGTGTTTTGGATTCGGACTGTGATCCTCCTACCTAAGCCTGTCACATAGCCTGAATTAAAGACATACACCACTATATCCACTTTATTAGTTGAAATGGGGGTTTCACTAAGTTTTTGCCTGGGCTGGCCTTGAACTGCAATCCTCCTGACTTCTACCTCCTGAATAGCTGGAATTACAGTTGTGCACCACTATGTCTTGCCCTAACCTTGACATTTTATAGCTGAGGAAGTAAAAGGTCTGTCTCAAAGACAGCATAGAGGGGACCTCCTGGAGAGGTGCACAGTGTCAGAGGCAGCCAACTCATTCTCGAGCCTGTGCCTGGTGGACAAAGGTCTCAGCAGAGACAAGCAGGACCCTTTCTCTGGAATAGCAGACATTTGTGCGGTACTGACTTGGGGCCCAGCACTGTTGGTCTGGGCACCTGGCTGGGTCAAGTAGACTAGCTGGCACTGGAGACCATCTGCCAGCTTTCATGCTGCCACTTTTGGTCAGGACCACTCACTACTGCAGCATTTCCCAAATGCCAAGAACCTGGACATTTGTTGAGCCTCACAATGATCCTTACCCTCGCTTGCCCAAAGTCTTTTTGGGTAAGGTTGACAGGAAAAGACGGGAGAGGAAGAAGAGACAACAATGCTAACAACCACGGTAGAGAACTGACTGCAGGACTGTAGAAGCAGCGTCCATGTGATAAGCCCTTCCTAGCACCAGCCCTGCACACATCACTTGTCTCCATTAACTCTCAAAGCTGTTACCCAACCTCTGGGTGAAGAATGGGGCTTCTGCACTTGCACAGGCGATAAAAAGCTGAGTGCCTAAGTGAGGGGGAAAGACCAGACTCATCACTTGAGTGGAGATTGGGGACAGGCAGTAGTACTCACACTGAAGATGAAGAATAGCTCGATGAACATGGCACCAAAGGGCAGGATCCCAGCCATGAGGATGCTGCAGCAGAGCAGGGGCGTTAACAGTGCAGAAGACCTGGCCATCGGGAAGTCTAAGCTCCCCACAAGCCAGCAGGAACATAGCGTGCCTATGCAAGTGGTAGTTTTGAAGCTTCTCCATGCTGTGGTACCATTATAACCTCTTGAGTCATGGGCAGGGTGGGCATGATTCTTTCCAGTTCATGGATGGGAACTGAAGTAGAGAGGTGGGCGACATGCCCAAGGCCCAAGTGATGGCCTTAACCTGTGTCAAACCCCCTTTGTCCCTCCCCTTCCCTATCCTGGTACCTAGGTTGACACCAATTCTAGCTATGGCTTGGTCTCTTTATCATGGTGTGAAGCTGAACTTGCATGACATTTACTGTGCTGCTGCTGGGGCATTTGTCACATCGCCCTGGGGGGAGGTACCCTCTTCCATGACCTCCTAGGGAGATGACTCAGGACAGCGCTGGCCTCATCCATCCCAGAAGTCCCCTTCCCTAGTCTCTGCCACAAGACTCACCCCACAAATCGGTTCATATACCACCGCTGCTCAGGGATCTGTCGGGGAATCTGGTTGGTGCGCACAGGGTTGTCATATGGCTGCTTGCGGAAACCAAAGTAGTAGCCCAAGTAGACGAGGGGCAGAGATATCCCGAACCACATGCACAGCAGAGCCACCATGGTGGGAAAGGGAACCTGAAAACACAATGCTGTGAGGCTCCATCAATCCCTGATGCCTAATATGGGGGCCATGCAAGGGAAAGAAGACACAAGCTCATCCTTGCCTCAGGGCTCCTGGCCAGAATCACTTGGGGGCTAAGAGTTTTCTGTGTGGAAAGGAGTGCAGATGAGGGACCATCTGAGCTCCTAGTGAGTTTGTCATTTGGGAAGGAAGTGGGGAAGAGGGAGGAAAGGACTAAGAACCTAAAGGGGACACAAGGAAAGAAAATGATGTGTAGCCCATTAAGTGATGAGAAAAAGGGAGAAAACAGAACTCTACAAAGCGCTCTCAGTTTGGCTAAAATACAATATCGCAATAGACTTAAGTGAAAAAAGCAGGTTATAACACTATGAATAGGACTCCATTTTAGAAGAAACAATATTTAAATGTGCCTGGAAAGACCTATACCAAAAAGTTAACTAACAATCCTTTACTTTTCTTCAGCATCTTCTTATAAGAATCATGCAAAAAGAAATGAATTAACAAATGTAAAGTGCTTAGAATGGTATTACAAAGTAAGCACCATATAAATATTCATTATTTAAAAATTCATATAATTTTTAAATAATATAATTCCATTTTAAACATATCTGTAAAAAGAAAAAGGCTGAAAAGAGCATATATTAAAGATCTATATAGCATTTACCTCTGGATGGTTGGATTATAGGTTATTTTTAATTTCTTAACTTGTCTGTACTTTCCAAAATTACTACAATGACTGTTATAATGTGCAACTGGTAATCAGAAAAAAAAAATGCTGAAGAGACAAGGAACACAGGTACAAAAAAAAGGAAGTGAGAGGAGGTGCATGACTTGTCTTTCCTGAGGGCGGCTTCCTAAGCCACTGGGACAAACTTAGGCCTCCAGTAGACTGGACTTGAACCTTTCCCAGGGACTTTATTCATTTATTTTGATGGACTGGGGTTTGAACTCAGGGCTTCATGCTTGCAAAGCAGGTAGTCTACCACTTGAATCATATCTCTAGTCCATTTTGCTCTGCTGGCCTGTGCCTAGGCTGGCCTCAAACCACAACAGTCCCAGTCTCAACCTCCTACGTATCTAGGAGTTCAGGCGTGAGTCACAGGTACTCGGCTCACTCAGGGACATTAACAGGCACCTGCATGTAGGGGGCAGGTGGCTCTGCTGGCTGAATGCCAGCCCCACCTCTACCACAGTCCGGCTAACTGACCAAGATGCCATTTCCACCCACCTACACCCACTGAGTTAGAAATCTTAAGTGAGTCCTGAGCAGCTACCAGCAACACCACAGCATGGGGCTGGAAGGATCCCCACTCTGAGGATAGGGCTACTGAGGAAGAGAGCCCTATTGTGGCATATTGATCTAATCCACTCATATGGGGCAGCTCTCACTTGGTAGAGACAGGGGAATTCCCCAGCTGGCCCCTCGACTATGGAAACCTGCCTTTAGAGAAGTGAGCTTTGGCCAGCTGCCTGTGAGGCCACAGAAGCCAGGGCACTGGAAGACAATGGGAAGCACTGGGGAAACCCCAGCCAACCCTCAGTGGTTGTGTCAGGGCTGGGAACAGAGCTTTGGGGACTCAGAAAAGGAATGGGAGCAACAGGAAGTTACTGGGGAGGGGCTGGAGGATGGGGGAGGGCACTTACCGCTCCTGATGAATGCTTTCCCCAGATGAAGCAATTCAATACAAAACAGATGCCAAAAACCACACCAGGGTACAGTGTTGCCGTCTGGGGAAAAAAAGGGGCCAGGTTAGGAAACTGTATCCAGGGCACTCCCATGGGGTCCCTGACCACAGGCTTCAACCCCCTCCTTGTCCTTCAGAACTTAGCTCAAGCACCATTCCTTCCCTTTCTCAGATGAGGCAGGCCTCCTGTTTGAGGCCTCTGAGCTCTCTGAAGCTGCTGCTTCCTTGCTTTCATCCCACTCTAACTATAGATGGTCCCCAGCTTATAAAGGTTCTACTTAGGCGTTTCTGACTTTACGGTTGGTGCGAAAGTGATACGCATTCAGCAGAAACCACATTTTGATTTTGGGTAAGTTAGGTGTATTCAATGCATTTTCAACTCAGGACACTGTTGACTTAGGATGGGGGTATTAGGATGTGCCCTATTGTAAATTGTCTGCCCCTCCCCAGTAGACTGCAAGCTCCTTGGGAGGAGTGAGTCTGCCTTGTTCTCTAGTATACTCTTATCACTCAGAACACAGTAGCCACTCAATAAATATTTGCTGAATAAGTGAATAAATAAAGCTGTTACAAAACATGTATGTCTAGGCACCAACCCAAACTGCCTTGAGTGATAGTTAAGCTTTAATCAAGTCTTAGGGATGGCAAATGGTGGGCTCTCCATCATCATCTCACCTAATTCCCAATACAGGTTTAGAAGGGGAGGACTAACCAGTATCCCTTTTAACAATGAGCACTGAGGCCCAGCAATGTTTAAAAATACCCTTCCTCCCACACACACTTTATGAGGTAGAGGCTGAAATCCAGCCCATACTCTTGAGCTTTGCAGTATATTCTAGTCAGTCAGAATCTCTTGGTCTGGAGCCTGGGCACAGAGAACCAAAAGCCCCAGACTTTGAGCAACTGTGTGAACAGCCTGGCACATAAGCTCTGCTGCCAGTTCCAAATTTGGCCTAGTGTCCCTCCACCCAAGAGATGTCACTGCTCCTGCAGATTCCTGACCCTGGGCCTTTATGCAAGTTATCAACACCTTGGGGTGTCCACCACCTGAGTGCCAAGGTTGTACAAAGTGTCACTCCACCCACACAACACTGAGAGGTATGTAACTATTCCTATTGGAGAGACAGGAAAATTGAGGCTCAGAAGGCTATTCATGATTATCACTCAAGGAAAGAATATGGCCAGGACTGGGATCTGGACAATTCCAGAACCCAAGGCTACTCTGCTGGCTGCTTCTCTCCATCTGAAACCCTCCTTTTCAAGGACTAGCTCAAATGTCACTGGGTCCCTTCCTTTGTGTTACTCTTTACTCTGCCGCATAGCAGGGAATTCCTCATCTGTGTTCTCAGCTGAAATTTAGGTCTGGTTGCTATATCAGATATGAGGTATATGAACAGAAAAAAAAGTTCCAGAGAGAAGAGGCTTAAGGCTCCCTGTGAGGCAAGGCTGACCTCAAACCCCCTTCCTTTTTCTATGGTCATTTTGCTCCTCAGTCCCAGAAGGACAGGGAAAGGCAAGAGCCATTTTTACTGTAGAACAATGAAAGCACAAGTCTGGAAACAGGCTGGCAGTCACTTGGGCCCTCTCTATTTTGTTGAATAGGGCATTTTCCTTGGTGCTGCTGATGGAAATTCCACCATTCTGAACTCCCTATTTCTTCTTTTGCTTGAACTATTGGACAACAAAGGCTAAAAAATCAACTAAGGGCAATCCTCTCACTTTATGAGTAAGACAACTAGGGTCCTGACATGTCCTGCTGCCAGCCTGTAGATAAGGGCCCAGAACTGCTAACCCTTGGCCCAAGACCCTTCTGCATGGTCATGCTGCCACTCAGCTTCCTCCAGTACCTGTCTCCACTCCTGAGAGGCCCAGGAAGAGCTTTTCAGGTGCCACCAAACACTGGAAATGGATTAGGACACTTACACAGAAGGCTCCTTTCTTCCACCTATGGCCTTTTAGAGTGCGGTACAGTCGGCCGGCAGAAAATCCACCAAACACCCTGTGGGAAAAGGGCAGGGTCCACACCAAGGAGACCTGTTAGTGGCATGAAGGAGGCTTGTGCTGGCCCCTGGGAGCCACTCACACACACCTACCCCATGAACATGAAGAGGAAGCAGGCTGTGGTCATGAGAGCTCCCCGGCTGGAGGGCGACAGCATCCCAAGCATGGCCACAACTGCAGAGGGAGGGGAATAGGGTCAGAGTAACTGATGGCAATTCTAGCTCCAGGTTTGTGTGTCTGGGGGAGGGGAGGGCAGGCTGACAGGCTCCTGGGTAGAGGGGGTAAATGAGGCTCCCTTCTCCCTTGGCCTTCTCAATGGCACAGGTCCTTCTCCACTACAGGAGAAGACTGGGTCTTAACTGGGGCTCAGGGGATGCAGCACCTGTGGCCATTATTAGCTAGCTGAATCTTAACTGCATAACTGCAGCTTCCAATCCACAGAACACTTGCAATGAGTCAGGCACAGGGCTGACAGCACACTCAAGACCAGCTCACTGAACACACCTTCTTAAGTCTATAAGGTGGACATTAGTTTCTCCATTTCTCAGACTAGGAAACAGAGGCCCAATAAAGTTAAGCTGGCTGACCAAGGTCATAAATTTCAGTATGAGACTGAGATCCAAATTTAGGCAGAGGGACAGAGCTTTCTGTATTATATGTTAGTGTTTCATCTTTGTTGACTGGGTCAGTCACTTAACCTGACTGCAAAATGGGCCACTCTTGCAGTGCTGATGTGCAGCTTCCCTGATGGAGTAGACATGGTGGACACGGTGGGCTCTATAAATGAGCTGGCAAATGGAGGAGAATCACCATTCCTAGAGTCTGGGGCTGGTGCTGGGCAGGCAGCTGTCTGCCCAGAGACACTGGCATGTCTGCTTGGTGCTAGGTATTTGGCCTGCTCCAGGGAGGGAAGTCTACCCTTTTCCTTGAGGCACATGGAGGGTGGCCATGCTCCCCTGGGCTCCACATCCAACCCACTAGTCCCACTCACAGATGACAATGAGGATCATACAGAAGAGCTGAATGCCTGAGCCCAGCAGGGAGCTGAGGATCATGGGGTACTGGGGTGGCCTGAAGACATCACCATGCACAAGCTTCCACCCAGACTCCTCCATGGTGTCTTCCTGCAGCAAAGGGTAGAACAAGGCAGGCTCATGAGAATGGGGGCAGTTCCTCCAGGGACCACGCCCACTGACCCAGGCCCCCTGATCCCATGGAGGGTGTCCCTCAGTTGTCAACCAGCTCTGCTCTGACACAGGAGTGCAAACGATATGAAAAACAGTGTTTCTCAGAGAACTGTCATATGGGGAAGGGAAGCCATAAACAGAATGCTTGTAGCTTCATAAAAGGAAAATCGCTCCAATTCCACAAACCTAGTACATGAAAAAAACAATGTAAATAATATGCTAAAATGTTAACTTGATAGTTCTTGGGTGGTGAGATTTAGAATTTGTTTTTTCTGATTATAAAAAGAGACATGCATTTATTTGTGTAAAAAAAGTTAAAAAAACTGGCATGTCATGAAATCCAAGTGAGCAAAAAACAATAAATGTTTAACATAGAAAAAATTTTAAGCCAGGTATGGTGGCTCACTGTGAAATCTACTTGGGAGGTGGAGATCTGGAGGACTGAGGTTTGAAGACAGCCATGTAGAAAGTTAGCGAGATTCCATCATAACCAATAAAGATAAAGGTGAATGTGGTAGCACATGCCTGTCATTCCAGCTGCTTGGGGGCATAAATAGGACTGTGGCTCAGGCCCACCTGGGCAAAAGCATAAAACTCTGTTTGAAAAATAACTAAAGCAAAAAGGGCTGAGGATGGCTCAGTGCTCAGTGGTAGAGTGCCTGCCTAGCAAGTGTAAGGCCCTGAGTTCAAACCCCAGTATTGGGGGGAGGGGAGAATGTATATATATATATATATATATATATATATACAACCCCAAGTGTGGTGGTGTATAACTATAAACCTAGTACTCAGGAGGCTGAGGCATGGTAGCACATGCCTGTAGTCCCAACACATGGGAGGTAAAGGAAGAAAGGTCAAAAAGTCAGCCTGGCCTATATTACCCCCTTTCCCAAAAAAAAAAAAAAAAAAAATCACACACCCAAAAAAATAGAAAAAATTTAAAAAAATTATTTATACTTAAGTAATGTTTATACATTAACATAAAATGATACTACTGCTTCGTCTTTTCTGTATACTTATGTACATATGTATATATATGTTTTATTCGTTTTTTTTTCTTTTTGATGGTACTGGATTTTGAATTCAGGGTCTCATGTTTGCTAGGCAGCAAGCTACTCCACCAGCCCTACATATATTTAAAAAAAAAAAATTGGGATCATACTATGGACTTTGTTATTTTTAGATAATGTTTGATTGTGATTATTTCCTTATGTCAATAAATATGTTTCCCCCTTCAGGGGGAAGGGATAAGAAGAACAATGGAGGGGTGAATTTAACTACAATATATTCTAAGCACATATGTAAATGTCACAATGTATCCCCTGAACAACTATTACATACTAATTTTTAAAAAATCAAATTCAAATTGAAAAAGTATATTTGGGGCAAAGTGGTTGGGGCTCATATGGAAAAAAGAGAAATTATACTTCAAAGCTGCAATAAATATCTAGACCAACTTTTTTCTTCCTTCCTTCCTCCCTCCCCCCCTTCTTATTTTTGTGGTACTGCTGTTTGAACTCAGGGCCTTGCACTTTCTAGGCAGGCAAGCACTCTACCACTTGAGCCATACTCCCAGCTCTTTTTGTTTTAGCTATTTTCCAAATAGGATCTTGTGCTTATGCCTGGACCAGCCGCTTATTTAATAATCTGCCACAGCCAGGTCATTGGTTGAGACGGGGTCTTGCTAAATTTTTGTCTAAGCTGGCCTCAAACTGTAATCCTCTTGATCTCTGACTCCTGAGTATCAAGGATTCAGGTGTGAGCCACCATACTCAGCCCCATTTGACAGTTCTTGAGATGCACTGCCCACTGCTTTTCAGAAAACTGCCATTGGCCCTTTCGTAGAATGGGAACGTGTTCATTTCATACTAACTTTGCCAACAACTAGTACTATGAAAAAAATCATACCAAGCCTGGAGAGGTGGCTTATACCTATAGTCTTAGCTACTTAGGAGGATCATAATTTAAGGTCAGCCTCAACAAAAAGTTATCGGGACTTCTATCTCAATCAATAAAAGCTGGGCTGGTGGTGTGCACATGTCATCCCAGATATGCAGGAAGCATAAATAGAAAGATCAGTGTCCAGGCCAGCCTGAACATAAATTTGAGACCCTCTTTGAAAAAATACCTAAAGCAAAAAGGGCTGGGTGTGTGGCTTAGCGGTAGAGTGCCTGTCTGGTAAACGCCAAGGTCCTGAGTTCAAACCCCAGTACCATAAAAAAAAAAAAAAAAAACCTAAAACAAAACAATCAAAAAACCCAAAACACCAAACTAGACATAAGCACCTGTAATCCAAACACTCAAGAGGCTAAGGCAGGAGGATTTCAAGTTTGAGGCCTAGTTTAGGCTACATAGTATGACCAAAAAAAATCCATGCTAGTTTGATGGTCCAAAACCATCTTCTCATGATTGTTTGAATCTACATTTGGGAGCTATCCCTGAGGTAAAAACAGTATTTCACATTTTTACTGGCCATGTGTAGGTCCTTATCTGTATTTTTCTTTTCATCACTATATAGATTTTAGCATTTTGGGATCTTTTTTGCTGTTGTTGTTGTTGTTGAGAGTTTAGATATGTAGCCTATGCTGGCCTCAAACTCAGGATCCTCCCATCTCAGCCTCTGAGTGCTAAGATTACAGGCACACACATCCACAGCCTGTTCTAGCTTTAAAGTTTTTAATGTCAAATGAAGTTTTCTTCCTGTGATTTTTAATGCTTTTATTTTACTATTATTACTATTATTGGCAGTACTAGGGTTTGAACTCAGGGCTTATTGTTTTTATACTTTAAAATTAGAAACCCTAAGAGGATAAGATTTTTTTTCTCTCTTTCAATGCTTTAAATTATTCTATGAATAATCACACACACACACACACACACACACACACACACACACACTCAGCATCTGGCAGGCCTGTAGTCCTACTACTACCCTGCCAGACCATCCCTTCCCTAGCCAAGACCTCGTACAATGTCATCCTCCTTGTTATAGTTGGCGATGTCCTTCCGGAGGGTCCGAATGATAATCATGCTCAGGATGCCTGAAACAGATGGAGTGGGGAGTCATGAGCATTGCTACCACAGCTGTCTGTGCTCCATGCCCTACTCTAGCAGGAGCTCACCATGTGGCCATCTCAGCAACTCCCCAGGACAGAGCTCCACTCCAACCAACCAGGGAGAAGTATGCAGGGAAAAAGGAGCTGCTGAGATTGGTGGGGACAGCCACAGGATGCTGTTTTTTATGTTAGGGAAGAGAGCATCTAGTTCCTCCATTGCATGGTCCTCTGGCTTCTCTGGCTTCATATCTCCTAGGCTCCCTCTCACCCCACCTCTGGAAAGTCACTGTTTTAATTGGGAGTTCAGAGTTTCTCACTAACTTCCTACCACTACCCATGCTACTGCTTTGCCAGGTATACACCACCTGCATGATTGTGCTTCAAGACTCATTCTAAGCATCTTCTCCTCTCAGTGCCCTCAAAGAGTTCAGCGACACCCCCTCCCCCATTTGTCCTTTCTCCCTATTTACTTCTCTAGGCAGCAGTGCAGTGGTTATAAGAATGGGATATATGACCTTGAGCTCATTTTATGTTTAGGCTTAGCTTATGGGGTTAAAAGACTGAGATCTTTGTAAAGTGCTTAGGACAGCAGCTGACCCAGGCTAAATGTTTAATAAATGGTAGCTAGCACTATCTCTGCTTCTTAAAATACTGAAATAGTTAGTGTCAATCCACCTCTGCCCAGCACTCTCTCACCATCCTGCTCCTGCCAAGCTTGTCTTGCTGTGAGGCTGTGACCACTGTTGAAACAGTGCTTCTTTGGCCCTTTGTTCAGAGAGCCTTTCCTAAAGTAGCCTTCTCCCTTTCAACTGTTGTGCATTTGGTCACTTGTCTATGTTTTCTAGCACTTTTTACAACTGGAAAGGCCACTACTTATTTGATTTCCTCCCACTGCTACATTATAAAGAGGACAGAGACTAGGCAGAGAGGACTGGCTTGTTCAACACCATATCCCTAGCCATCTGGCACAGCACCTGGTCAAGAAAAGCAAAGTATTGTTGAATGAAGCAATGATTGTATGCATGGATAGATGTATCCATCTCTCTTCAGAATGTAGACTGACTCTTGTTTACCTCTGTACACGTGACACTTAGCACAGGGCTCTGATACCTGCTTCTGACCCACACTTGGGCCTGTGAGCACCCTAGCTCTCCTCTAAGTAATGTGATTCTTCAGTCCCTCAACCCCCATCCTGTCCTCTCCACCTTCAATCAACAGAACTCTCACCTGATAGGAAGAAGACCACCACAACAGAGTTAATGATAGAAAACCAGTGGATCTGCACGTCACTCATGGTCAGGTAAGTGTCCCAGCGAGAGGCCCATTTGATGTCACTTTCCTGGCAGGGAGGAAGAAGCACTTAGGCCTCCTGCCTGCAAATTCTGGCCCAGCCCAGACCCTCCTCCCCTGCCAGAAGCTTGTGCTCTTCTCACCTCCCAATGCACAGAGTAGGTGAAGTACAGCTGATTCTCCTTGTTGGGGTCAATTTCTTGGGGTGAGGAGTTGGTACCCTCAGGTAGGGTGCATGAACTCTTCTCATCTGCTTTGAGGTCTGTGAGAGACAGAGACTAGGTCTGTTCTCCTGGTGGCCAGTGCCACTCCCCAAGGGCTTTTCTGCAGGTGTCCTCAAGGCTGCCTGCTTGTGGGACTGTGGCCTCCAGGATCTGAGTGGAGGCTGGGAGCACAGCAAGCAACCGTGGCTTTTACAATGACATTCCCAGGGCCTTCAGGGCTGCAGAGAGGCATGCATGGAGGAGGGAGGGACAGAAGGGTCTGTGTCTGAGTCCTGCCTTAGGCCAAGCTCCTCTACTCAGCATTTGTCTCCTCAAGTTCGTTACACACAGACAAAGGTGGCTTGCTCTACCACATTTGCTCATTCCTCAGTCCGTCTCCATCACTTAGTGATTCAGTCACTCAGACGAACTTCCCTTTCATTTACTCATTTGTTCATTGTGCCATCTACCTCTTCATTCAGCCAAGGTATCCATCTATCCTTCCCTTCATTCAGTGCCAGGTACTGTGCTGGGTGGTGAAGATAAATGGTGAGAAAAGGTGAAAAAGATTGTAATCTTAATGAGCCACTTCTGGGACTGTAGATGTGGTGCAAGTGGTAGAGTGCCTGCTTTGCAATTGTGAATCCCTGAGTTCAAACCCCAGTCCAAAAAAAAGGAGCTTGATTTATTCACTTCTGGAGCACAGACCTCAAAATAATCCCATACATAAACGTAAAACTGTGTACTCCCAGAAAGAGGAAGTACAGTGCTCCTAAAGTATAGGATCTATGCTTCATGAGACTTCTGTGTATGATTTTGAGAGCCATGTTCCACAACTTTTTTAAAAAGCCAGAAAATGCTTTTTAAAAGCATTCTGGGGATCTAAGGCCAGTTCTGTTGCCTAAGTGAAGGACATCCTGTGATGCACAAGGCTGACAGGGGAGGTGAAACCGGACCTGGTCCTATGGGCCCATTAGCACTGGGCTGGGCTCTCAAACTCCTGCACAACTGTTAACCCTGGGCAATTTTAGTCTGTGCCAATTACTAGCACAGGGAGCGAAAGAAGAAACCTGCTGCCCAATGGCGTTGTCTGTACCTCTGCCCCTGGTTCTTCAACCCAGGGTGAGCTGGATGGTTCTTGTGAACAGGCTCAACAAAGCCTCAATTTGCTGTTTGGTCTCCACCAGTTCACCAACCTCCTCCTGGGGTTGCTGGGAGGTAGTGAGCTAGTAAGGTACCCACCCAGTCAATAACACAGCTAATGTCCACTCTCCCTCACCCCTACCATCTCTATTGGGAATACAGTGACCCTTCCATGGCTGGGAGCATATGCCATACCTGAACCTATTGGCCAGTCAGGAGGTGAGAAGACCCTAAGTGAGGAAGCCCAGACCCATCCAGCCCTGCCCCTCTGGTCATACCTCCCCACTCACCCTCCAGCCTGATGCTCTGGGGAATCACCTCGAAGCGGACGACACGGTATGTGTGTTCCTGGTCCTCTTCCATGTCCTCTCGGTGGTAGTAAAGGATGAACGAGAGGTGATTGTGCAGGTAGATCTAAAGTAGAGCAAGAGAGAGAACAACAACAACAAAAAAACTAGCAGCCAAGAAAACAACCAGAAAGTCACTCAGGGAGATCACCCCAGGCATCTGGTCTCCCACTCCTCCTTATCCAGCATGTTTAACTATGCCAACCTTCCAGAAACTCTGCTCTCATCAGATCACCCTCCTACTCAGAAACCCTCCAGGGCTCCATCCAGGACTCTCTGCAACTTATCAGATAAAGCCCAGTTTCCTTGGCCTCAAATTCAAGGCCTTGTATCATCTCCCTAATTTAGCTGTCTGCTACTGTCTTTTAAAACACATTAATGCACCTGACCTCTCTGGCCCCTTCCTGCCACATGAGCAGTCTCTGCCCTGCAACTCTGCCCACAGCATCTACTGCAACTAGGATACCATCCCTTTCCCCACTAGGCTCAAGTTGACCTTGTTTGCTAAGCCCCACCTCCTCCATGAGACTTTGAATGCACAGCAACTACCTCATTAGTGGCAGGCAAGCTGGGACCCAAGGTCCGATACTGCCAGCTCACTCCCACCTAGGATAGAAGTCCTTTGAGGACAGGAAGTGTGCTTTGAAAGAAACATTTCTGTCTTTTATTCCTTAAATAATATCTGCTCAGTTCAGAAAATTAGGAAGATAAAGAGAACACATTAAGATCAACGCCATTAGCTAGGTGTTGGTGGCTCATGCCTGTAATCCTATCTACCCAGGAGGCAGCGATCAGGAGGATCAAGGTTCGAAGCTAGACCAGGCAAGTAGTTCACAAAACCCTATCTTGAAAAAAATACCCAACACTAAAAAGGGCTGGTGAAGTGGCTCAAGGGGTAGAGCACTGGCCTAGCAAGCATGAGGGTGAGATCAAACCCCAGTACCACTAAAAAAAAAGATCATCGCCATTATTGATTTATTCCCAGGGGCTCTGCTATAAGTATTCACACAGACTGCCTGATTTACTCTGCAAAACAACCCTGAAGGGCAGGTATTATTACATGTTTATAGATATGGCAACAGGCTCAAGGCCACTTAGACAACTAGCAAGTGGTGGAGGCAGGAGTTAAACCTAGGGAGACCATGTGCTTTTTGTTTGTGCAGTCCTAGGGATTGAATCAGGGCCTTGTGCTTAACTGTAGGCACCTGATCCCTATATGTTCCTCCCTCCTGCTCCTGCACACTGATTAATTTCCAGATTTTGTTTGTTTGCTTGTTTTAATCTAATAAAAACACAATCCAACATTTTAGCAACTAAGCCTTCACCTCTTTGTACTCCTTGTAGCATCTACCAGATGCTGACTCCCATCTCTTCTATGTTTCAAGCCTATAGCAGAACATTTCCCATTCTCTGTGACCCCAATGTGCTTGTGACTTGTGAGGTATGCCTCCCCAGCCCTCTGAGCACACAAAGACACTCTACCTTATTGACATCTGTGAAGCCGAGACGGTAGCCATGTTCAAACTGCACATCTTTTTCCTTCTTCTTGTCATCATTGTCACGGTTGGAGTACAGCTCTAGCCGAGTGGCCACAGGCAGGTTGTCGGCAATGCTGGAAACCCAAAGACTTGCTTAGTCCCTCTGGACTACCTTTCCTGTCAGTCCCTCCCCCATGTGAATTCGAGGCCAGCAGGGAGTTAAGAAAAACTTACAGGTGGACATAGTAGTCTTCTGCTATGCGCTCAGCCACCAGCCGGCTCTGCTCCACTGTCAGGGTTACTGGCTTACTGGACTGGCTGCACAGAACTTCACACTTCTTCTCGCTGTTCATGAGAACCTGGAAAGGGGTGTTGACAATCCGGTCCCCTCTCAGCACCTCTCCTGCCGTAAGAGAGACAGATCGAGCTCAGAGCTTCAGCCCTGAGGTTGCTGAGGTCAGCAGAGTCATGGAGCCACTGGCAGCAGGGCAATATGGATCGATCTCTCTCTCTCTCCCCAACTGCCTGTTGCCTGAGTAACCTGCTGCCAGACATCAAACTCACAAGCACTGAGCGGTCAGGAGTATCAACTAAACCCCACTGTGCTTCATTCTGAGCCGCTCGACAACTCTGTGATGAGGTGAAACTGGGGCACGCTGAAGGAGATCCACCAAGGTAACAGGCAGGACTAATGCCTCATCACGTGCATGTCCTACCACACTGGATCTGCTTGACATGGCCCTGTCGGCCTTGCCCTCTGGTCACTTACTTATTCATTCATAAACATGTGCGGGGCACTGGTTATGTGCCAGGCCCTGAAGATGCAAAGTTGAACAACATATTCATGGATCTCACGCCTAGTGGGAAGACAGACTTTGATTAAGTAACCAGCAGAAGGAGAATATACTATGTAACTTACTATAGACATGGGGGCATGGGTCTAGGAAGGTCTCCATGAGTCAGTGGTGTTGAAATAACTCCACAGGAACAGCAGTGTACACAGAAGGCAAAGTATGTGCAAAGGCCCCTTGGGGGGGTTGAAGGAATTGTGAGAAACTTGTGAAGCTTGTGTTAGTACAAAACAAAGAGCTTGGGAATGACTAGGATGAGCTGGAGATGGGGGAAAGAAGAGGTGGAGCTGAATGCTGGGCGTCTGTGGGCCCAACAGTTTGATCTTCATCTAGAAAGCAAGGAAAGCTCATCAAAGAGGTATGGTCCCAATAGGGCAAAGGAATATGCTACCTACTTCTGGTTATAGAAAGATCATTCTGCTAACTTTGTGCAGGAAATAGGATGTAAGCATCTGGCTGGGGTGATGGCATCAGTCATGTAAGTGAGTAGCATGGGGACAGGAAGGGAACATGTAGGAGGCTGGAGCAAAGCACACAGCATCAGAAGCTACTGAGGAGGTGGAACTTGGGGTACCTGCTGCTGATTGGGTACAGAGCCGAGGGAGGAGTGGTACATGTTGGGAGACTCTCAGACTTCCATAACCATGTTTTTAAAGGTGGGCAAAAATGAAAAAGAGCAAATTCAGATGGAAGAGGTTTGTAGTTTGGATATATAAAACAGGCAATAAGACATAAGGATTTGAGACCAAGAGGAGAGGTCAAGGCAGAGATGGAAGCTGTGAGTTGCTGGTATACAGGTGGCAGATGGCAGGGCCATTAGCTGTACCACTGGAAGGGTAGTATTCAGCCATGCAGCCCAGGTGAGAGATGACTTGAGTGCAAATGATACTATGGGGGTGAGAGGGGCAGGGAGAGGGGCCTGAATAAAGGCCTCTATCCTCTACCCTGTTTTAGAAAGTGAGCCTGCAAAGCTCTGGCATGAACTACAGAGTAGAGAACCAGGACATCTGCGTGGTATACAGCTAAAAAAGCATTTTATAGACGACAAGCTAAGGACCAGAAACAGAGGCATGCCGATGGTCATCTGAAGGGGTGGTGGTAGTGCTAAGTCCCTGGGCTCTTTCTTCACATCACATCCTGCCACCCATTCACTTGCAGGTCAAAAATGAGCTGGCTTGAGGAGAGGAGGAAATGCAGAGAGAGGAGGAGGCTGCAGACCAAGTAAGGTGGTATCACTTCTTGAGATTTAGAAATTAAATTTAAACCATGAAAGAGGACATACTGGCCTGGAATGGCTCATTTCTAATACAGAAGTGTTCCTTTTTCTTTTTTTGGTGGTACTGGGGTTTGAACTCAGGGCCTCATGCTTGCTAGGCAGGTACTCTACCACTTGAGCCACTCTGTCAGTCCTCTTTTTTGTGTGTTGGATATTTTTGCAATAGGGTCTCATGAACTATTTGATAGGGGCGGGCTTCGAACCGTTATCCTCCTGAGTAGCTAGGATTACTGCTGAGCTACCGGCACCGGGCTCTTTCTTCGCTTTTTTTTGAGATGGGGTCTCACTATGGTCTCAAACTCTCAAGGTCAAGCATCCTCACACCTAGCCTCCCAAGTAGATGGAACAACAGATATGTGCCACATTTCACCAGAAGTATTCCTTTTAACCACAGCCACAAGCTACATCATGGACTCAGAGCACTGCTGTTGTATTTCAGAACATCTTGCAGTGCCAAAAAAAAGTCTAACATTTCTGAAGTTTGGAATCCTGTGGCTAAGGCAGCTTGTTTTTCTCGTTTTTTTTTGGCAGTACTCGGATTTGAATTCAGGGCCTTGTACTTGCTAGGCAGGTGCTCTACCACTTGAGCTAAGCCCCTAGCCCTTTTTTGCTTTAGTTATTTTTCAGCTAGGGTCTTGCATTTTTGCCCAGGGCAAGTCTTAGACTATGATTTTCCTCCTACCTACGCTTTTTGCACGGCTGGGATTCTGAACTCATCCCACCATGTCTAGTTTGTTGGTTAAATGGGAGTCTTGCTAACTTTTTGCCTAAGCTGGCCTCAGCTTCCTGAGTAGCTGGGATTGCAGGCATGGACCACCACATGTGGCAAGAAATTGAGATTTTTAAACTCAGGACTTTTGACTAAAGCCAGAGTTCTTTCTGCTGTTCCTAATGGCATCTCCAGAAAGGCTCACTAGGCTGTCACAGGGAGAACTGTGAGAATTAAATAGAGTAAAGAACACAAATGCTGAGAGCAGTGCCTGGCTCACAACAGGTGACATGTAGGGAGGTACTGCTGCCTGCTTTTGGTTAATATTGGGCACAAGGCCTGCCTGTAGCTGATCTAGACACCCAATACCTAGCAAAAGGTACACTCATCAGCTAGGGATTCTGGAAACATCTCAGCTCTGGGAGACCTGGATGGCCCTTTCAGGGACCTGATCAAGAAAAAGTTCTCAGAACTGGGGTGTAGCTCAGTGGTAAAGCACTTGCCTAGTATGCACAAGGCCCTGGATTCATACCCAGCCCTGCCAAAATCAGAGAGGAGGAAGAGATAGAAACAGAGATAGACAGAGAGAGAGAGAGAGAATGAATACGAGAATCTGTTAAGGTCCCTGAGGTCAGGGAGAGCATCTCCATACTCTTATCTCCAGGACTTAATGCAGAGACAGGCAGAGAGGAAGCATTGATAACTATGTCCTACATAGGCACCTGTCATTTCCTTTAAGTCTAAAATTCTGCCAAATGGAGAGTCATTTAGAATAAAGTGGTTATTATTTATGGATCATTTGTGCCAGACACTGTACCAGTGCTTCACACATATTATTTGGTGAGTCTTAAACAGTTCAGAAAGTGTGGCAATGTTTCTTCATGCTTTAGGGCAGAGATAATCATTCACTCTTTCAATTAAATGCAGAGTAGGCAACAGAAGCCACCAGAAAGAAGGGGATATCTGAGTAGAAGCCAAGTGCTCTAACTCTGAGGACTGACCAGGTGGATTCAAACACAGCTAGCCATTAACTAAATGGTATAACCAAAGGCAAGTTACTTAATCTACAAAATGTGAAGAAAAACTGCAACTACCTCCCTAAGGCCACTATGAGGATTACATAAGCCAAAAGGCATACAAACTGTGTACAACAGTGTCCAGAATGTAGTAAGTGGCAAATAAGGGCAACTGCTACCATCATTATGAAAATCATACTGAGTTCCCCTTTGAGACAGGCTGAAGCAGTGTGAGAGAAGAGCTTACCCAGATTCTCTGCCTTGTAGGTTATTTTGCTGGGCTGGCAGAAGGGCAATGAGTAGTATTCATAAGGTAGCTGGGTTCGAGAGCTGGTAAGTTTCACAGCCTGGTGGGAAGAGAGAGGCTGTTATTCCTCTGTCTAACAGAAGCTAAGACAAGTATTCCAAGAATCCTCCTTGGAATCCACACATCTTTAGCACTCTTGGTGATATCACCAGCTAGACAAACTCACTGTAGCAGATAAGACTATATTTACTGTACTCCCCATAGTTCTGTATTATTCCACTTTTCAGTAGTTTTATACTGAATTATAGATTTAGTTTCAAATCACATGATTGAGCACATAGCTGTCCTTTGGAATGATCATTTCACTGGGCATTTTTCCTCAAGAAATACTGCAAATAAGGAAAAAACCTTTAGGGGCAAAGAGGGCTGGTTTTATTTGTAACTGCAGCGGCCCCTTCCTTCAGTTCCTCCAGCCTCAAGTCAACCTTTTGCTGTGCTGTGTCTATGTGATGCCTTCTCATATTTAGGTCTCAGCAAAAATCATCTCACCTGTGAACCCTTCCCTACCCATCGTATCCAAAGGAACTCCCCATTGTTCTGTTTCAACTCTATCAGCTTCCTTTATATCATGTCAAAGAAAATCCAATTCTTTTGCTTACTAGGTTTTAAAAACTCAGTCTTTCCCACTAAAAGGAAAGATTTAAACTCCATGAAGGCAAAGACCACGTGTATCTTGGTCACCTCTGTAATCTTCATGCCTTGGAGCAAAGCAGGGTAGGTACCCATTAAATGTCTGCTGAATGAAAGAAGAAACAACTAATACCTTTCACAATGGGAAACTGATCAATAAACTATGATATTCTCATTCAATTAAATGTTGGACAGTCATTAAAAACAAGGTTTAAGAAAATGATGGAGAAAAAAAAAAAGAAAATGATGGAGAATGTCTAGAAAGTGATGCAAATACAGACTATCACTTCAGAAAGGTCAACAGTTACAGCAAACCCCAAACCACAGGTAAAACCAATAAGAATGCTGCAAAAAATAAATTCTTAGAATTCCAGGTCTACAAACCTTATCTGAAACTCTTGCTTTGGAATTAGGTATTTTTTAGATTTTAGATGACCAGTGTGGTAATACATACCACAAGTTTCATTAACACCCCTGCTGGGTCTGTGGCAGTAACTCATATTTCTTGATCATTTGTGCAGACAAATGCAAAAACATTCAGGCTAGGTGGGATATATAAAGTGAATAACTAGCTTCGTGTCATTTGAGGTCAGTTCTAGCCTCTAGGGTGCTTAGAAAAACCTTGGTTTCAGAGCTTTTGGGATGTCAGATTGAGGGGATAGAGGACCTCTACTTAAGAATGTTATGAATTATTGGAGGAGAAATGGCCTAAAATTTACTATCATAACTATTTCGTATTTCTTAGCATTCTCTTTATGGACTATCAGAAAAAAAATTCACAATAAAGAGATGAGTCCACCTTTATGTTCTCTTCCCAGCCAAAGTGTCCACTCTCACATACCCAGTTTGGCACTCCCTATTCCACAAGGTTTGCTCTAAAGGGGGACTTTGGCAGAGGCGAAAAGTGGGAGAAAGGGTACTGCAGTGCTAAAGAGATGGGGCTTAGAATTAACCCTACATTTTCCTCACCATGTGACCTTGGGCAAGTTGGTTCACTTCCTTGGGCCTTAGGTTCTTTATATGTAAAATGTACAAAAAATCTGTAGAACAGAATTTACTTCAGAGGGTTCTTGGGGGAGGTTGGCATCCTGAGCCAAGGCAAGTCTAATGCCCAGCATGTAAATAAGCCTTAGTAAATGTTGCTTCCATATTTTTCTTTCAAGTTACAAGTCTGACTGCAAGGAAGAGAAACTTATATGAACAATATGAGCAGACGCTAGGCACTATGCAGAGAAAGCTGGTAACAAAGAGGATGAAACAGATGAAAGAGGGAGGCAGTAATGGCACAGAGGAAGAAGGCAAGTGGAGCAAAACAGATATCCAGAAACAGGCAGAGATGGACACACACATGAGAGACAGAGAGAAAGAATGCTTGAGAGCAAAAGTGAGGTCAGATAGAGAGACATGCATACATATAAACACACAGAGACAGAGACGTAAAGAACCAGAAGCAAGGAGAGACCACCCTCACACAGGCAAGATGCAGACAGCCAGAGGAACAGAGAGATGAAGAGGGGAAGCACAGCTCCTGAACTACATGCTGTGCAGTATAAAGTGAAGGGAGCTGGCACTGGTCTGTGTCCTCTGCAACTGCAGGATGAACACGAACAGCTTAACCTGGCCCTCCGGCCTGGCTGCCCAGCACAGATACACTTATGTGCTGGGACACACCCACCTTAATTTCTACAGGATCATTCTGGTGGAAGTTGATTGGTGCAACCCCAGGGACATAGAATGCACTTGTTTCACATGTGAAAGAAAGAAGTACCAGGGACCATGGCCACCAAACCTGCTGGGAAGAAAAGAGGCTGTAGTTGGAACGGGGGAAAAGCAGTGAATCACCCACACCCCTCTAGAACAGATCAAGTAGCAACCTTTCACACATTACCTCATATTCTAGGAAGCATGAGGCCCTTGTAAATGTTGCCTCCTAAATGCCCTCAAGAGTGCTACATGGCAAATGATTCTGTACTTCCAGAAATGGGCCATAAAATGGGTCAGGTAATTAATGTCTGGGCAAAAAAGAAGACTGTCACATAGGAGCCACAATTCCTCACTCCTGATCACTTTCTTTTAACCATTTCATGGTGGGTCATTCTTCACTACAACTTGCAGGAAATAAAGCTCTATAAATTTTTCATCAGTCCCATTTCTCTCTATAGCAACAGGCTCACTGTCAGGAAGCTCCTATCAATATATTTTTTATAAGCCTTCTCTATCACTTCCTACTCTCCTCACTCAGCCTGGGCCACATGGCCCCTTGACAGCACCCTTTCTCCACCCCTTAGTGCCTTCATCTTCACTGCTCCTTCCACTGGAATGTCCTTCCCACAGATACCTGCATGGTGCACTCACCCTTATTTCATGCATATCTTTCTCAAATGTCACCTCCTTAGAGAAGCTTTCATTGACCATTTTATCTAAAACTGCATCCTCAGGGCTCCCATTACCCATTTCTGCAGTCTCTTGTTCTACCTTATTTCTATTCATGGACTTATCTGTAGACAGGTATGATGTGGATGGATGTGTGTTTGTGTATCCCACTTGAATGTAGTCTCTGAGGGAGCAGGAACTATGTCCTCAGTGCCATAAACAGTGTCTGGCAGAGCAGGCACTAACAGCTTCATGTAGGATGGGCACCTGGGAATCCAGGGCAAGCAAGACCAATTTCTAATCTCAACAAGTCTAAAGTGTCCCTTTCCCTTCATTAAGGGTGCTTCACCCGTTTAAGGAACTAGAAAAGCTGCTTGACTCTTTTTCCTCTGCCTGGTCTGGGCAACTTCTGTTGCCCATGCACATGAATCACATGCTTAATTGTGTTTCTGCATCTACCTCCCTCTCTACTCTTTGCTGCTACTCTGGTTCAGATGCTTGCTTCCTTCTACCCAGACACTGGCGGCAGCCTTCTGATTACCTCACCATGTAGCGCCTTCACCCATCAACTTATGTCACACCCCCCCCCACACACACACTCAGAGGATTCTTTCTGAATTGTCGTTTTACAAGCAATCAATCACTAAAGGGAGTTTGCCAAAATGCAGACTCATCTGTATCTTCACCTGGACTACAAGTCAAAAAAAAGGCTTTGAAACTTTTAAGGATCTAGCCAGGTCCTGTGGCTCATGCCTGTAGTCCCAGCTATTCTGAAGGCTGAGGCAGGAGGAATACTTGAATTCAGGAGTTTGGGGCCAGTCTGGGCAACATAGTGAGACCTCATGTAAATAAATAAATGTTCTGTTTAATGTTCTTTTTGAAGACACATACTTTGATCACAGTCTTTTTGCGGTACTGGGATTTGAACTGAGGGTTTCATGCTTGCTAGGCAGGCACTCTACCACTTGAGTCACTAACCAGTCCTTGGTCAAAGTCTTAAAAGCAATATAGTCACAGAGTGTCTTTGTCCTGGTTTGTTGTGAACTTTTAAGTATCTGCCAGCTACTGTTGGTTATGAATTCAAAGTTTGACTATGATAAAAACAGTGACAAGGGCTGGGGGTGTGGGTCAAGTGGTACAGCGCCTGCCTAGCAAGCGTAAGGCCCTGAATTCAAACCCCAGTACCATCACCAAAAAAACATAAACAAACAAACAGAAAAACCCAGCAACCTAGCTACAACTGATGCATTTGATAATCAGGAACTAGGCAGATTTAGAAAAACAGGAAAAGCTTTAGAAGAAATGACAAGACTAGAAGGCAGAAAATTGCCTCATGGGGCAGGATTCCACATAGAAAGACAGAATTTTTCCCCTTTTATCCCTTTTTTTTTTTTTTGGTGGTAATAGGGTTTAAACCCAGGACCTCATGCTTGCTGGAAAGCCACTCTACCACTTGAGCCACTCCACCAGCCCTTTTTTGTGTTGAATATTTTTGAAATAGGAACTCGAACTATTTGTCCAAGGCTGGCTTGAGCACAATCCTCCTGATCTCAGCTTCCCAAGTAATTAGTATTATAGGTGTGAGCCACTGACACTTGGCTCCTTTTGGTTTTTTAACCTTTTAAAATAAATTTAGATTTACAGAAGATTTGCACAGACATTTTAGAGAGTTCCCATACACTCTTCACTCAGTTGGGTGAGCAAGCTTTTTTTTTTTTTTTTTTTTTTTAGGAGGGTCTGATTGCAGTCCACGCTGGTCTCAAACTGAAGATCCTCCTGCCTCAGCCTCCTGTGCACTCAGATTATAGGTTTGCCACCACGCCCACAAGGGAGTAAAGTTTGGCAATAATGAGCCTATACGGTTTTTGAAAAACTAAAACCTGTATACAGTGAATAATTCAAATGGATAGACCAAGAAAAATACATTTTCCTTTCATTCCACCTCCCCAGGGTCAACTGTCACCATCAGTTCCTTGAAAATGCCCTGCAATGCACAAGGGGGAGGGGTTCAGCATCTGGGCTGGCCTGGAATACAACAATGAGCAGAAATGTAGTCTTTCTTTCTGAATAGTAACGGAAAGCCTATTGACTGCAAGCTGCTTACAGCATCCTACTTCCTCTCCACTAGAGGCTTTCTTCCACTTGACAAGTCACCAGAGGACTCGAGCCCTCCCTCTTGGAACCCTTTGCCAGCACTCACTGTCAGCTGTTAGAATGTGAGTGCTTCCTGTGAGAAATAGTGCCCTCTTTTTCCTCTAGTTCTCCTCTTTACCTGAATTCCAGTTAACCTGTTAAATACAAGGAAGACAAATCTATTACTGGTATACACTGCCACCCAAAAGCTGTTTAGAAAAGAAAGTGCAACCCTGAATTTTTGAAAATGCAGATAACAGAGAATCCTCACACAAAGATACTATCAAACCACAACCCAATTTATTTCAGAGAAAGGATCTAGAGAGGGAAAAATGGCAAAAATATCTCCATAATATGCTAGAGTCTGAATACAGTACTTAAGTTGGTAACCAAAAGCAATTCAGAAGTTCATCGTGGAGATAATGACTATTCCTAGATGACACTGTCAGTTTTCAAATGTCACTGTGTGGTTCTCATATGGCTAGAGGGGTTACAACCAAGGGTACTTCTGAGGGGCAAACTGGCATCTGTAGTCAAAAACCCCCCCAGTAATGCATATTCTTAGACCCTGCAGTTCTACTTCTGGATATGTTAAGAAAGTATAGCAGCCAGTGCATACCTGTAATCCTGGCACTTGGGAAGCTGAGGCAGGAGGATCATGAGTTCAAGGCCAATCTAGGCTGTATAGTAAGTTCCAGACCAGCCTGAAATACAGATTGTCTCAAAAAAAAAGACAGATATGGCAAGTATGCCAAAATGTAAATAGAAAGGTATTCACTATAGTATTTAAATGGAAGTGTCAGACTTTATTCTTTTTTGTGCATCTATATTTTACACTTTTTCTTATAGAATTATGTAGTTTTTATAGCATGTAAAAGAAATAATAAATGAGGTAAAAGCAAATATTTACACCCAGATTTGAGTGATCCTAACATGATATGGAGGGATGCCTACCTGCTGTCCCATAGATGACTTTCCAAATGGCACCTCTCCCTCCCTCCTTCCTTTCCAATGGCACCTCTCCTCCCTCCCTCCCTTTTCCTTTCTTTCCTTTCTTTCTCTTTTCCCCCTTCCCCTTCTTTCCTCCCTCCCTTCCTTCTTTTTTAGCAGTACTGGAATTTGAACTCAGGGCCTCATACTTGCTAGACAGGGGTTCTACTACTTGAGTCATGCCCCTAGTCCTTTTCGTTGCCATTATTTTTTGAATAGGGTCTCATTTTTATGCCTGGGCAGACCTACGATCTCCCTATTTAAGCTTCCTGCATAGCTGGGAGGTGTACCAAAAAACCCAGCCTTTTGGGTCTCTTGAACTTTTTGCCCAGACTGGCTTTGATCCTTAATCTTCCCAATCGTCACTCCTCCCAAGGAGCTAGGATTACAGGTGGAAGCCACGCCACCTGGCCTCTTTCTTACTTTCTTTTTTTCTTCTTTCTCCTCCTTACTTTTTAAGGCACTTTGTAAATATCTCTATGATACCAGAGGCAAGAGAATGGAAACATCACCCAGTACCCAAAACTTTTATACCTATACAGGTTGAAAGATTGCTGCTTAGGTTGTTTGAGGTCTGTACTTGTTTAAGGTCCCACTACAGTACTTTGCCTGTTGTGTTATGACCATTTAATCACCTGCCATCTCTCCACCTGCACTAATCACTCATCTAGCTTTGTTGATGGGGTGCTCAATAAACCCTTATTAAAATAAGCACCAACTGATCTCTCATAATAAAAATATACAACTATATATTCACATACAGATTTGATATTACGGTTCTTATTAGTATTTCCTGTATCTCCTTGAGAATCTGATTTTTAAAAAATTCCTTATATATAAGGAGTTAACACCTGTCATTTGTCCAAGAACCTAGGTTGAGAATCTCTGAAAACACCTGTCACCCAATACCGTATCTGTGTCTAGCATAGTAATTCATTGTCCTGATGTACTAGAGGAAACTGGGGAGCTCTAAAAACCAGTAATGCCAAGCCCTCATCCAGATTTAAGGCCCTGGTTTCAGTATTTTTAAAGGGTCCCCAAGTAGCCAGGCAGTGGTGGCTCACACCTGTAATCCTAGCTACTCAGGAGGCAGAGATCAGGAGGATTATGATTCAAAGCCAGCTCATGCAAATAGTTTGAGAGACCCTATCTTGAAAAAACCATCAAAAAAAGGGCTGGTGGAGTGGCTCAAGGTGTTAGGCCCTGAGTTCAAGCCCAGTATCACCAAAAAAAAAAAAAAAGAGTCCCAAGGTTCTTCCTACATAAAGTGAGATCTAGAGAGAGCAGCATCAC